CAGCTCTGTGGCAGTGCGAGTCTCATCCCGACTGCACGTCACGCCACGCAGAGAGTGAAGGCTGCCTACAAGACAGTCAGAAGTGCAACTAAACGCAGCTGAAGATTGAGGCTTTTCTGTAACTGCCATCTCACATCGGATGCTTTTTTACTGTGGATAGCAATATATGATGACTGATGCGACTGAGTACTTCCGTTCATGGCACAAAGCCAAAGCTAACTGCAGTAAGAGAACCTAAAAATGACTCTGTAACACCCCAAATGCCAAAAGACGAGCTTTGTACATAGCTGACGAAAAAGAAATGTTAGCAGAATGAGAGATGGGTATTGATTACAATCATAGATGATTACGATGAATTGCAGCTGTACGTTAGCAGTTCCTCTGCCGTTCCCCAGAAGGTCAGCTTGCTTACTGAACGTTTCAGGACAGTTTACCACGTCAAGCACATGGAGGCTGTGAGGATGCCTTCCTGGCAGCAGAATGAGGGGACAAACACTTTGTTAGCAGCAGATTTACATGTACAAGGCATCACTCTGCTATTCAGTGCAGACATCTTTCCCCCATTTGCTTTTCAGTCAAATTACTGGTAACTCATCTAAAGTTATGACAGAGTCAAAATCGATTCTTCACTTTCCACATCATTTTAAGCATCCCAGCTAAAGCCTGCAATGAATTAAAGACCATCTCTCCGCAGACAGAAGTGACAACACGAGTGCTCAGAGTCTAGCTGCTTTGCTGCTTGTCTTCATAACCATGGCAGCTTCCTGTGTCAAAAATCTGCCCTCTTTATTCCCCTTTACATTGATTTGCCAGTCCTAAGATACCCTTAAAACACATTTTTATTCTCTGTAGACCAAGAGTCAAGTATTTATTCCTTCGCTTCTCTTTAACTGGAATGAGAACAGACCATGCTGCATGTAGTGCCTGCTGCCTACATGGGTAGTGACGCATCATACCAGGGACTCTGAGCAGCCTTAAACGTAGCGTCTGGGAGCGTGCCAATGGTGTTTGTGGTTTCTACACTTCGTTTTTTAAGCAAAGATACTGCAGACACACACAAAATTAATTGAAGTATGGGATTAAGCAGAGTTCCAATCAACTCACTCGCAGGGTGAGACAAAAAGGAGTTGAAGGTCTGGGAAGGGAGGTGTGATATTGTAACCTTGGAAAGCAGAAATGCCGATAGCTGGCGACTGCAAAATCGCATGCACCAAAATGTGGACACACAAGCGTTTCACACCCACCCAAAGCCCGGCCGCTAATGTGAATTGGATGTGTTGCACATACATTTCACCTGTAGCCTTTTCAAAGGCAGGTCAAAGTGATCTCAGAAACGCAGAAGCCATCCATTTTACAGATTGTTATTTTAGCTATGGATAAAATAATTGCTACCAGAAATTGTTTAAATCCTCCTTTTTCAGAAGGGATAAATTCCTGCAAGTTAGGAAAAACTCCACTGCAGCGTTTGGCTGGTTGGAGGACTCGCTCCGTAGCCGCTGTGGACAGTCAGCCGGGGTAAGGCAAACGCGGAGTGTCGGCCAGTGCCGGGACGGGGAAGGCAGGCGAGCAGGAGGACCCAAGCTGTGGGGCAGGAAGATGGTCTGCCCTTCATTAACGGAAACAGCCTATTCCTAGCAGTTCATGATGCCTCCTGGAGAAGAACCAGGGTTAAAAAGATGGAAGGAAAAGAAAAGGAGGAAAATAAATTCCTGCTTAAAATGTCTAGGCTAATCTCGTCACACTGTATTTGATGTTGTGACCCTTTCTAATGGTAACTTCTATCTAATTTCATTTTAAAAAACAGCGGCACAGTTATGCAATGAGTCCTGGCTTTCTGAAGTAAAAAAAAAAAATCATAATTCACTTGGAATTACAATCTCTCCTCCCAAGCATTATTAAGTCACTGTGAAGACCATAAGCACGTACACACAGAACTTCTTTTAGTCACCTGGATGTCTTTGCTATTGTCATGCCTAAGTATGGAGCCTGATTCTTGTTTTGATTTGTGAGTTTTTTCTCCTTTTCCTTTAGATGAGGATTATTATTACAGGTGTCTAAGCTTTAGTCTTTACCTTCCAACAGACAAAAAATAACAGTTATAGAAAAGTGCTCTAAGTATTTTGTTTTTTTAACAGCTAGGAAGAAAAGATAGCTCAGAAACCAAAACATCCCGGAGGCACTTTCTCTATCCACAGCATATTTAATAAATTGACTTTTGCTTCCAGGGCAGACATTCAGCTTCTTCATTAGTATAATGATCCTCAGTCTTCTCCTCCCAAACTTAGATAATTTGAATGAAAAATAAGTTTTATGAAATGTAGCTATTAATAGTGTCAATAAATTTAAAGTTGTGATTATGTATCACTTACAGTAATGTTGGCCTTGTCTACTGTAGATCAAATTATATTTATTCAGCATTCTTAAAATCAAATATCCTTTCTCTTTGCCTGACAAGAACAATCCAGTGTGCTGTCGAGTACCAAGGTGACTTGAAAGTTTTTCTAATGTGTAATCCCCTTTCGCATTCTGTATTATGTATGAACTCAAAGACAAAAGATCTGCGTTATCTTAAATAAACTAGGTAAAATGTATTTCAAAAAGTTTCTTGAGTCAAAAAGTAGCAAATCATTGTATGTATTTTCCATATTTGTATAGGTTTCATTATATTCTCATTCTAAGTTACTCTTAAGTCTCTTTCATATTTAAAAAATGAACTACACACCTATCATGCAAAATGTAAAGAAGTATGTTCAACTAGTTCAAATTAGATATACAGTAAAAATACACTTCCAAAGAAATATCATTTCCATTTTTGTTCATGTTTTTAACAGAATTTCAGACTAATACATCAAATGTGGAACTGTACAAGTATGTGAAGAAACATTAGGATTGCAGTAGTAAAAAAATGTACAGCATTCAAAACCAACAAGCTCTAAACAACCAAACAATACCACAGGATTGAAACAATCATGGGGACAACATAGGTCATCGGAGCCAGTGAGTGAATCCTAATGCACCTACATAAAGACCCTACATAGAATATTGTCTCTTATTTATATGCAAAATCCCTGATTTGATTAAACCAGACAATTTCTCTAATTGTCTCTTCTAGGTTTTAGATAAGATTAACATGAGAGTATTCCCCTTCATAAATGTCAGTTATTTGAAAAGGCAATATTGAGAATTGATTTGAAAGGTATTTCCGTCTGCGTGGATTCAGGTAGTTGAAATACAAGATCATAAGCAATAGCACTGTAATTTTAAAGAACTGTTTGAGTTGTTATCCGCTACATTCGCCGTAACACTTGAGAATTCAGGATTCAGTTTTTTTAAACTGTTTACAGGTTAATACACGGGGTTTTTAATTATGGGCTGTATCCATTTAACAGTGGACCAACATTGCCTTTTAAATTAAAAAAAGATCCAGCTAAGCATGTAAAAAAAAAAAATCTCCAAGGTAATCGACAACGAACAAAACATTACGTACAGCAGAATCTCTGTGTCTGAGAATCTTTGAAAGGCGCATATGTACTCTTTTACAGTCCACTAACCAGCACAATTTCCTTATTAGACATTTATATTATAGGAAGAATGTCTTGCACAAACCTGTAACAGTTATTAATTCAACCCAAATTATCTTTTCTAATGGTTCATCATTGTGCATAAACTTAAATAGCTATGCTAGCCTGCTGGTTTCAGTGACCAGAACGTAAACGCTTTCACAGATCTTAGCTAGTGAAGATGTTTTTAGGACTATCTTGCTTTTCAGATAACTCACCTGTGGGTTTTTTTAAGCTGAAGTATGAAAAAGGTTAATAAATGACCTAATTATGTCAGCATCTCTATCCCACAGTCCTCATGCTCTGAGATCTCTCACTGATCTCCATAGGAATTTGGCTTGCATAAGAAGGGCAAATTTTCGGCTGAGAAAGCTGAATAAATGTAGCGCTATTAAAACCAGAACAGTGTTACTAAAGGGTCTGGCCTACTAAATCATCTTCAACGCACTGAAAAGGGCAAAGAACATGAATCTTGGCACCTATCTTGCTGTTTATTTGGAATAATCTTTTAACAATTTCGATCCAATGGGAATGACGGATTAGTTTTAGGGAGCTAGCCACACACAACCTAACATTTGACTGAAATAAACTGATTGTGCCAGGTTTGAAAAGGAACAACCATATGCATCTTATGTACCACTCAAAGTCTATAAAACTACTGGGCAAACAGCATAGTGTATACTCGTTCTTATACATATTTAAGCTTTGCTGAGGTATTTCTTTAATTACAGAAAAGCGTCTTTAAAAACAATAGAAAAAATCTCAAAATATGAGTTATATTCTGCACAGATTTTTAGGGGAGAAGGAATTCAATTGTATTGAAAGGTCTGTAATCATTAAAGGAATAACCACTTTCATTAGTATTGATAATATCATAGTCTTCCTTGCTTCAAAGTATTACAAAAAATGTAAGGCTGTGACTTTCCAAAACATCATTTTGCCTCGACTTTGCCCACCAGTCTTGTAAAATAACCTGAAACACTTCTGGTTTTTTGCTAGGGCCTGTGTTACCCAGTGTCCACCTCTGTGATAGACTGATTGTGGCCACACAGCTGTCGGGTACCCCGCTTGCCTCCTCCATGAAGCGGGACGAGCCACCTCTTGCACAAAAGCAAGACTGTTTTCATAAATGCTAGCTGAAGTCAAGTTTCTTTCACGCAAAATGAAGTATAGGTTGTCTTTTAGAATTTTAACATTATCTGATAACTTCTACCTGCAACTAACAGTTATTTATTTCTCTGTAATGAAGATGCCTAGACCGTTGTACAAGCTGGATTTCTTACCCATATATACTTCAGGAACAGGAGGAATGCATACATCGTACTTAGAGTTTATCCTAGGCAGATACTGTCTTTGAAGTGCAGTCTTCTAATCCTTTTGAAAGCCTGCCTTTATTGTGACACTAATGTTAAATGTAATTGCAGCCATTACCAAGTAGTTTCCATAAGTGGTTTTATTACTGTTAGATTTTACAAATTCTGGTATTCGAACAGATTTCGACCTTAAAATTCTAAAACAACAAAGCAACCAATGAAAGGCTTAGGACTATTCAAAGTAACAAACTCTTAACATTTTTGCCCTGGTCATAAATATACAGAGAGAAAAAGAGAGAAGTAGACATGGAATCCAAAGTATGTAGATAAAACAGTATATAAGGCACATGGCAGTCTTTGAAAATACAGAAGCTTTAGCCAACTTAAATTAATTGCTGTTTCCCTTGCTCAGTCCACAAAACTGTACAGTTACACAAATGTTGTGTTGCAGTAGATCTTCCAAGTTATTCTTCAGTCTATACTCCGTAATACCAGAACACTACATTTCCTTCCGTTTTTTAGGAGAGATCCTAATTGTGGTTAGTCAGTTGCTCAAAGCCTCTATTAAAATACACTTGGAATTTCAACTAAGAATAATTTCTTTTTTAAAGAAATTATTAGGAAATAGTCATCAGAAAAGATTTGTAAGAGTTGTCTGTGAAGGACTTCGAGATTCATGAACCTCAAGGCTTCCCGGCACTGACGTCAAGACAGATGTCACAGTAGGCATAGTAGGATTAGTCAAGTCCGTTAAAGTAGTGGGAGTGCTGGATGGACTCATGGAGGCATTGGATATTTCTGAGGCAGGACCTGATGGGGTCCCTGCTTGGAGTGTTGAGTCTGAAGTCTTATCCACCCCTGTGTTTTCTTGACGTAAGAGGTTCCGTCTGAATTTGGCTCGAGCATTTTGAAACCAAACCTGAAATAATTTAATATAACAGGGTAGCATTTAAAGAGCTGCAATTTTTAAAAAAAGCAAAAGCATACTCACAAATTCACCAGTGCTTGTATTGTGGGAGGTGTATTTACTGGTAAATGTTAGAAAAGTAGCCCCAGTCATGAGACGTGTCCTCTGCACACCTGCAAAGCATTCCTCTTTCCCTCTCCTGCAGTCCTGTATAAACAGTCTGCCTGGGACGGGAGTGGACTGAGGATGGAGGAGAGGAGTCTTTCTGTCAAGGTTATGTATAAAGATGCTTAGAAATTTGGCAGCCCAGATGAATCCTCGGTTGCCTCCAACCCCAGAAGTATTTGTCTGGATGAGGCAGACATCACGCATCTGACGAATATAACAACAAGTTTCAGCACGTTGTACCTCAAGTCCATCTCCCATCGTAAGCAGCAGGTGACACAGACCACAGCACCCTGCCTTCCTGCGGCCCCGAGAGCTCTCCCAGGAACTTCCCCTGTCTCAGTGTCAGCAGTGCTCTCGCTTTTCTAAAAGGACTGTCCCTCTCTCTTACTCTTCTTCTCAAATGCTTCAGCTCCTTTTGCCTACGCCAGTCTCCTTTTTCAAATGTTTTCAGTACTGGAGTGATGTCGGGAAAAGAGACTTCAATGGTATTAAAGACCCCCATTGCATTAAAAACTGACATTTCAGTAGAAATTACATCCACGTACAGAAATTTTTCCAAGGTTGCTACTTCTTGCATTATGTAATTATTATCTGAGTGAAGGACAAAAGCTATCACTTCATCTGTCTCCATTAGATTTCAGTGTTTAGCTCCAAGATAATAATTCTCTCCACTCTCTGCAGGATTTGTTTAAAGATAAAATATTTTTCTGACCTATTTGAAAATAGTTAAAATAAAATGTATTTGTGAAACTTGCATGAAACCTAAGTACAGCATAGTCCTTTGACTAAATTTGAAAATGTCATGAAATACCCTGTGTTCAACCTGATATATGTTGACACCAGATAATTTTACCGCTACAAACTAGCTGAATTTCACTGTGCTTATTTATCACAAGGCCTTCTGTCATTGTCACCTTCTTTACAACAGACTCAGTCCTGATCCTGCTGTCCTTACGTTGACCTGCTATAAGGACTAGGACCAAGTCCTTCCATTCCAGATGCAACGATGCCCATCATCCCTGTATCTGTCAGAGGAAGGAAACGATCTGCCCAGCCAAACAGTATCTCCATCAGATTTCTCCTCTGCGGCCAGTACAGAGAAACTGAGTGTGTTGACCTCACGAGGCCACATCAACCTCTACAGAAGTTCTGACCTCTACCTCTGAAACAGCATGGGCCCTGCCATAGGATCCGCTTGAAGCCAGACCACTGACAGAGGAGCGGTGCGTAAATACAAGCAGTCCTGTAAGGTGTTCTCTTTGCACTCTCAGCTTGCCAGCCACAGTTAGAACTGATGAACATCTCAACTGGCTTTCCTCTGACTGGTTTTTTTCTCATCTATGGATGCTCCAGACCCAAATTCCCTCTACTGAGCACTCTTACTTTTTCTCTGTGAAGCTTTTTGCCCAAGCCAAGGGTCTTTATGGTGCACACTCTCTCTCTTGCACTCTCTCCAAGGAATGCAGTGAGGAAATAATCCTCAGGCACAAATTCTAGGAGTGGCCATATGAGCTGCATTCATGAGCCGTACGGAAATCACAACCTCCAGGTCCTTGTTTCTGAAAGCTTAATATTTTAAAACAGTTTATGCATGCATTTCCTTTGTTAAAACACTTAGTTTAAAGGCTACATATCCGTTTCATATACAACAAGAAAACAAAAAACTTCTAAACTAGCACTGGTAAAAATACACTCATGATTTTACAACATGGTCCATTGTAGTGGTAAAGCTGTTAAAGGATAGCAGTGTGGTCAAAACCAAGCAAAACCGCATGTGATATTTTTGCCAGACACATTCACAACCACCGTCCTCTCCTGTGGCCGTTCGTTCAGCGCCGTGTGAGAAGGCAGGCGTGGAAGGGCGTGCGCAGGGTTCTGAGCAAGGCAAGGAGCCTCGTGTGCAGGGGATGCAAGGGAAGCAAATCAGTTTGTTCTGGTCACTCAAGTCACAAAGTCTCAAGTTCCAACTACTTAGGAATGGTAAAAAGCAGCAATTTGAACATTTATGGGATTTTTTACCTTTCAGTAAGAGGTAATTTGTATTTGTCCCACAAAGTAATTTGGGTTTCATTTTTTTAATATACCTTCTAGCAATTGTAAAAAGGATAACACATATGAAGGTGAAAGGGAAGGTTAGAGACTGCCACTGTTGCTATGGATGAGCACCATAGTTATGCAATAACGAAAACAGGACAGACAAAACCACTAGTCTAGTTGCATATACACATACTACTGCGTAATTTCACACTTATGTTCATTAAAAACACACATATTTATATATGCAGCAGTCCCAAATATAAGTAACATTTCCATTCCTAGTCACAACACAATTTTCATGTTTGAAGTGTGTAAAACTGTAGAAGGCACCACAAGTATTTTCTTTATTTACATTGTTCCTAAACGTCCAACTGCTCCTTAACCTTGACAAGGCAAGAGACTCTATAGTGTTCTTTCTGTTTGTGATTTGAAACATGTAGTATGTAAAGAAAAATGAGCAAGATTATCAGTGTTTATGTATTCCCCTTCATCTTGCATTAAACATGAAAACCTGTGCTCAGATCCCCTTACCAATGACCATTCATGCTGCTTTCAGGAGGTGCACATAGAAGATGGTTCATCGGCACTTTAATAGTGGTAATTCATGTTAGATGTAGAAAACATTGCATAATCTTGTAAGTATTATTCAAAAATAGAGATTGCATGACTACTTTCACTTCCTTCCTCACTAAGATCTTGCCAAGGTTAATCAGCTAACGGTTGTAAAGCTCTTTAAAATTGTCCAATAATAAATATTCATATTATTACTGAAAAGGCATCTAAATATTTGTTAAACTGAAATTCTGAAAATACCTTGTCTTATGATAGAAAGGGATAACATAATCATCGCAGTAGTGATATTCTTGTATGCACTTAAGAGATGACAGTATTCAGCAAAGACGTCGCATTGAAGAGCAGTGAAAGAATTAAAACTATATTTTCTGAGCTGTAGGAGTGCAGGCCTGCTTCTCCACTGCCCCGTGTCCCTGCTTAAAGCTGTGCAAAGCCATGTGTAAGAGCCGGCAAGTCAGGGTTGCCCAGGCAGAACGGCAGTAGCGCTGTATGCTCACGTTGGCGATTCAGGCCCTGCACCTGTAACGGTATTGCCGTAAAGAAATAATAACTCAAACACACATAACTGAAAGAATTGTTCCAGAAGGATTTATCTCACATCAATTACACAATCAGGAATCCGGTCTTCAGTACTGAGGAATAAATGAAATCGTTGGGAAGTATTTAGTGTTTTTTCCGTCCAACTGTATCATTACAAGGCTGAGCTATTTCAAATCAAAGGGGAAAATACAGACCAAAACTCCCACTGACAAATAAAAGCAGCTGTGAGCCCCACCATTGATGCTGCCACATTCTGGTTGGCGGGGCTGGATGCCTGCAGCTGGACAACACAGCAGCTAAGCAGAATAATATTTACTGTGGTTAAAATATCATGCTATCTCTTCAGTGATCTGTGCAAGCTAACTCTCTGTCTCCATCAAGTAAAACAGGAATAAAATAACATCTCCCTATGACAGGGAAGTATTGAAAATAAATACACTAAGTATTGTAAAGGCTTCAGATACTGCAGTGAATGAGACCATCTAATTGCCTCAAATAACTTCATTTTATTTTTTGTAACACCTCCATTGTTGCAACTGTTATATATTAGTTTCATGAATAGCTTGTGCTAGAAACAAATTTTTAATCACAGTGTTGCTCATTTTGACAGCTACCTGGAGACATTTAGATTTACCAAATTTTATGGACTAGTAAGTGGAGAAACAAAAATATAAAGGATATTGCACCACAAAGCAAACTACGTTCATTCATTGCACACACCTTCTGATTACTCTGTTGTAATTATTAACCACACAGTTAAAGGGGAACTATGGGATATTTTATGAATGGAGGCTCAGTAAAGAATCTGTAGTATGCTGTCCTAGGGCAAACCTTCACCAAAAGGTAGCACAGGGTGCCCACGCAGGACTCTGAAAATTCTCATGCTTGTTGACTACCGGAAACTGAATTAGCAAAGTCCAAACCGTGCAGTAATCACTGCAGGGTTTTCATAACGACTTTGCTGGGGAGTGACTCAAGAAAGAATAAGCAAGACTCTCACTGAAAAATAATGCTTTATGTTCCGAAATTGCTTTTGCCATGGATAATCATATTTCAGACTCCTGGGGAGAGAAGAGGTACATACCTATAGCTAGCAAACCAAAACTTCTTAGGGCTGTCCACTTCCACCTTCCCCTTCCAAAATCACAGAAGGAAAGACCAATTCCCAACAGAGGAGTATTTATGCCAGTTAGTTAGCTCGCAATTAGCTGGTCACTTCAATTATGAATGATAGCTTACAATAACGGACTTGTGTTCCCTAGCTACAGTACAAGAAGGTTATGAATTAAATTTCAAGTATAAAGTTAACTGGAATGAAAATAAATAAAAATAGGGGTCAAAAATATAAATAGGTTTACTGGGATTCTAATGTGGCTACTTACGGAAAACAGTCTGCATTGCAAAGCCACTGAAGGAAATGTAATTTACAAAGCAGTATGTTACATTTCCATGTCATTCCACTTCTGGATGTGTGTAGCTGATGACTAATTGTATAGAAAGCAAAGTCAGAAGTTGGGTCTTCCAAATCCGGTATCACAGATCATTAAGAATATGGCCAAGTTCTCCACTCATCTACAAACAAAGCACCCTCGTTACATGTTGTCTGGGACTGTCTGTATAGTACGGGCACTACAGTTGTTTCCTAAATCACTAAGAACTCTGCTACCTGTGTTTAGGAAGTACACTGGTTTCAGAAAAAAAGAATCTGTTTCTCCTGATCTGCTGCCTCGTATTTTCTGTTAAAATACCTTCTATTGATGATATACAAAGAGCCACAATCCTTCATCAGCTGAACTGAGATCTGAACATACAGAAGATACAACAGCTTACCAACACGCTTAAGAACAACATAGGGAATGCGGAAGATATCTTACTACTGGCAAGTGTGTTTGCACGTCTGGGAGTCCACACACCTTCGGTATGTAACACAGACCAATATTAATGATGCTTGTTTAGATCAATAGTGTCAGTGAATTACTTTGTGTTCAACAAATGACACAGATGGAATGCCAGCCTTTCTGGCTCAAAAGAATTAACAAGGGACACTATCTCAGTAACCAACATCATGAAGAGTTTTCCCCAGCAAAGAGCTGAAACTCCTATAGGTGAACTTCAGTGTTTGAAAAATTGCCTATCAAACGTTAGAAATAAACCAATTGGGCACAAAGCTTCTAAAATAAAAGAAAAAGCTTGTTTTTTCATGGCCCAAGTTAATTTTCAAATAAAAAGTTCAAAAGAGCATGGAGTAGAAAGTGCTCGTAACAGCCAGGAAATCTCCAGTGATACCAGACAAAGTATCACTGCGAGTCATTTTCCTGAAGTGCCTCCAGCAGCATCACCCTCTGCCTAAAAAAAGGAGCGCAGACATAGAGCAGTGTTTAACTGTGAAAGTAAAAGAATTTAAACACCAACTACCAAAACGATATTAAAAGTTTAGTAGAATTGTAAGGGACTGCTGCAAAAAAGAAGAACCACTAAGAACCTTAAAACTGCAAGATGCGGTACATTTAAGACAGAAACAGAATCGGTGAAGAAATGGAAAAAGGGAGCGAGGTGTAGTGGAGACACAGAGTCCAGTTTTGGAGACAAGGAAATACATTCACAAATAGGAAGGAAGAAACAGAGACAACAGCTTGGAAAAAAAATGGAAGGCAAGACCTGTAAGGTGAAAAGAGAAGAGAGGGATGGAAGTCAAAGTTGGTGTGGAGTGGGGAGAAAGAACAGAAAGATGATCAAGAGAAAGACACTTTCTAGACACTGATCTCATTTCTTAATGTACTATGTGAAATTTCTCAGATAATTCAAGTGTGAGTGCACTGCAATGGACTGAATAGATACTACTGAAGTGTCTAAACTCTGAGAGTAAAATAAAGGAGATGTGTCAAAACAAGGACAGACAAAGGCAGTAAATTATTTCGCCCATGTGCACGGATAAAGGAGAGCTGCTAGGAGAGACACTACATCAAATGTTCGGATGTGCACTAGTTGTGTCGGAGGAATCTGTTCCACCACCGCAAATCAGCCTTGTAAAACAAAAAAAAATCCAACTCGGAGGATGTGGCCAAGAGAAGTAATTACATATGGTTTTTCATTAGTAGTTTTTACTGGGAAGCCTGCAAAACCTTGATTCCCTCTTCTGTTAGGACATTGTAAGGTCCAGAATCTCTCCAGTGAATTCAGTTTTTCTCAATATTTTTGCCTACTGCCCTCCACTTGCCTATGAATTTGCGAGAGCTGTCCACAAAGCTTTCCCAGGAGTCTGTCTCTGAGCCCTGCCTGTCTCTGTGAAGCTCACCAACTCTTTTGCTACAGCGAAGACCCATTTAAAAATTTCAGCAATAGATTCTGGAATGCCATGGCTCCTACATGCCCAGATTTATCTCTAGCTACAGTTATTTGGATAAGTGCCCATTAAAATTGATTTCTTGAATCAGAACTATAAATTAAAATGGAGCTGAATCAACTAGTATTCTCACCTTTGCTTCTCATAATAGTTCAAACGGAGCGTATATCCTTGAAGCAAGAAAAATACAGCTTTCAGAGAAAAAGTACTTTTAAAATGCAGTCTCCTCTCATTCTAAGTTACTAAACTATGAATAAAAAATTAATCTTTGAAAAATTAAATTTATGTCCACTTCAGTTATGAAAGAAAATATATCCTCCTTGTCCTGATAAAATAAATTCAAACTACTGATTAACTTCTATAAAGGTAAACATTCACAGTAATTTCTAAATTAAGAGCTGTATAGTTACAGTGAACACACTAACTAATATAATTTACTTTTTCTTACAGCAGATTGGAAGCTAAAACATGCACCAGAGTTAACTGCCTACAGGAAAAGAAGCAGGGCCCCAAACCTTCAGAGCTGTCATTAAAAATTAGAACCCAAGTGATCTACTTTTGGGAAGCTGGAAAGAAATCACTTTTCTCGTGCTTTCTAGGACTTAACTGAAGCCTCACAGAAGGTATGAATGATTAAGAAAAGCTTGAAAATCAGCAAAATCCAAGCCATTTCAAATACAAAATTGATATTTTATTTACTTTTCCAGACAAAAGACTGCTCTTCTTACCTGAAGGACTCTCTTGGTCAGGCCGGTTTTCTGAGCTAGCTGTTTCAAGTCCTTGGCATCAGGATTGTGGTTAATAGCAAAGTATGACTTCATTGTCCGCAACTGGTGGTGTTTGAATGATGTCCTCATACGCTTTGTTTTTTGATTGCTGGGGTATTGCTGGTCTCTATCCAGGTGGTCACCATCGTTTTCATTGCAACTTAAAGCTTAAGGCAACAAGAGGAAAAGGCGTGTAAATCTATTGCTCTGTGACCAGCATTGTTTGCAGTTCATCTGAGTGCAGCAATTAAAATAACATACCTTGGCATGTATTGTACTGGCACAAATCCTACTTGCCTTCCCCTCCATTTCTGCATCTTCTATTTTTCCCTTACAATAACCAGCCTGCAAGGACCCTCACCTGCCTCTTTACGGCTTTTAAAATGTCAGGTCTGTTTCCTTTTTTCTTCCCTCCATCTCCACACAGCCTTTCCTTCACTTTCTGCTTGTAGGACAGTGGCTGTCCTCAACTCTGTAAAGTGTTTTAATGTACTTTGTATCACTATAAATCGCATTGTAACATACAAAGAAAGCTGTACAATACAGTCCACTTAAATCTCGACGGAGCAGACCAGTTAAAATTATAATTATTTCCTCCATCAAACTAAACCCTGTAGAGTACAAGAGAGACCATTAAATGAAACACTATAAAAAAAAAAAGTGTGTGGGTACCAGACATCAAATTATGACTATAATTTGACTAGCTAAAGAAATAAAGCTGTTAATACAATGTATCACTGGCACGCCAAATGAAAAATATATTTTTAATTATTTATATGTTTGTATTTCCTTTTTTTAAAAAAGTATTTGCAAATACTAGTTTGAATGATCAATTTGTTATATCCTTTCAAAACCCCTGAATGACACTGATTGATACATTTGCATAAATTGACCGTAAAGCCTGTAAAGGAGGTCTATGAGCAAGGAACATTATGATAATTATCAAGTCACAATAAATGTTGAATGCCAAGCAAAATAGTCTCATAGACCAAAAGCAGTTTTTCGTTTATTTGTGCATACAGTAGACCATAGAAAAACTCTTAAAATAACATTAAGGACTGAGCTTAAATCCACTAAAAAAATCAGGGACATGCTGAAAACTAGTTCTGACAAGCTGTCATCAACTTACTTTTTCTGTTCCAGCATCTACAACTCCCTTTTAATTTCCTATAAGTTTCATGACAAAAGTAATGAAAAATCACTACTGATGATTTTTTGATGGGTTTTTTTTATTATGTCTCTGTTCTATGTTGCATGCAAAAAACGAGAAAAAGATTGTATTTTAAAATGTGAAGTGTTGGTGAATTTCTTAAACACAGAAACAGATTTGCTTTCAATTGTCCATTAGTGCTGGTTCATTACAACTGAGTACATCTCACAGATGTGTGTACCTTTATAGTGTGACTTTAAATTCATGCTATCCATCAGAGGTTTTCAGCCCTATTGAAAACATACTAATTCTGAAAGGTATGCTTTAAAATTTCTTAAAAATATACATAAAATGCACGTACTCATAAGTAGAAATGCATGCAGAACCTATAAACAGCAGATTCGCAGCATGTACTGTAGCTGCTTTGCAAACTTCAGCTTTCCAAAAACTTCTAAAATGATACGGCACAATAGAGAGCAAAGCCTGCAAAAACTCAGCTTTAAGGCAAAAAGCATGTTTATTTAATAGATATGTAGAGAGTGTCTGAGGCCTCAAACTTTTCTGTGTGTTTCTGTACCCCTATAATTTAAAAAACAGCTTAAAAAAATTGTGCTGTATATATAAATGTGTACGTATGCATGCGGGTGTGCGTGCATGTGAGTGCGCTCGTATAAATCCTTTCCAGACCGAAGTATCTTGTGCCAAATTCTTGCAATAAGAGGCATTTCTGCTTGTTTTCTTGTGGCGTGGAAAGACTAGAAGCACCTGAATTTAAAAGCTATAAGATGCATAAAAGGTGATAGTAAAAAATCGGTGTTAAGGGAGCTGGATGGAATGTAGTAAAATCTTTTTTTCTGGTTTAAGAACTGAGACACAGTTGCCAAGCTGGGGTTATCCCATGTGCTCCAGTCTCCTTCATAGCTGCAATTCCTGATGTAAGGAATCCTGGGATGAATAATTATATTGCTTATAGCAAATTCTATTATGGAAATGTAAAACCAAGCAGCGCTCGGTTTTAAAATGTACTCACAGAATTTTGGATAGTAGTAATGGAAAAGACCTCTGCGTGTTATCTCAAACGCTTTCGAACCCTCCCAGCAACAAGGCAGAGACTTGGGAGGAAACGCATCAAAGAATCTGTCTGGAGGGCTGAGGCCTGTTCACCTTAAAGCGCAACAAAACGAACCCTGTGGCTGGAGATAGCTGGATTTTAACCTGTTCCATGGAGAATGAGATGCATTCAGGATCCAAGGAAAGAAAAGTGATTCTAGACACTCCCAGAACCAGAAGGAGGGTTCTCAGCTTTTCATCAAGCCCTGACAGGACAATGTACAATTAACACTTTGAATTTCTCCTAATTTTACCTCCTTGTCTACGAAATGGAAATAGTATTAAAATGGCAGTAAATATGTACCATTTGAGACCGTCAAGCCACTGCCCTTTTCTGTGACGAAAGTTACAGAACAGATTTTGAAAGTGCACGAGGGTGTCTGCTGGCTGTTGTCTCGTGCAAGTGGTTGGGGTACCCCCAGGCATCACCCTATATGACATAAATATTCTGAGTTAGAGCCAGTTCCCCTCTCATACTTGGTTGCGGTGCTTGGCACCATCTTCAAAACTCGGTCTATTATTATATGCATGTCTCACAGAATCTGAAACGTCTATGGGCGTTGCAGGCACAGAGATACAGAACGGGCCAAGGGTGTAAGCGTGTGGAGATTTTAAGAGCTGAGGAGTTTCTGCAAAAGGCATCATGGCATCAGACTCACTCCGTACACGCTCCTCACGCAACCCTCTGGTTTTCAGCACTTCTCCCCCATTCCCCTGCGTTGTGGTGTCCCTGTGTATCTCCCAAAGGAATTGTTGAACAATCCGTAGGTAAGGCTTCCATTCAGTTGCAGTATCTAGGGCTCCTGCTGGGAGCTCAGAAATACCACTGGTAAAATTCCAGTCAAAGAGAGGAGCCTTAAATTAACTAAAGTTTCGTTCCTGTTTTGTGATAAAACAAATTCTGAAGTGGTGCCAAGTCCTTTTTTGACCCCAGAACATTTCTAAGGCCCTCGTGCCTTTCCCCCAGTCCCCACATCCAGATCGTTGCCCTCCTGTCCTTCGGCTGGCCTCACCAGCAGCCAGCTCTTGCAGCCTCCATTAGCACCACGTTACAAATGTCCATCTGGCCACAAGATGGTGATGTCCGCGGGGAGCATCGCTAGAAATTAAGATTAAAACACTCTATTTTGATTTGGGTGACCAAAACGTCCTCTGCAGAATAATGCACAACACCATCTCCAAAAACAGCGACATGAACGTAAAGCCAGACGCACCGTTATCTTTGTAACAAACACTATTCGAAGCAGAAAGCTTGGGAGCACAGTTTCAGACTCAGCTCGCCAGATCCCCCCACGAGTCAGGATTCAGGGCAAAGCACGTGCTTAGTGGGTCACTAAGTACATGGCACACCAAGAAGATGGGAAAGAGGAATTTCCTTTTGGGGAACTTTTGTTCGTAGTAGCTTGTGTTTGACATTAAATTGCCCCAAAAGAAAGAAAACTAATCCTGATTCTGAAAGAATGATGAAACGAGAGAGACATTTGGTGCGTGCATCAGCTGTCCATATTCAGTGGCGCAGGAGCATACACCCCTCTCCTCCTGCAGTAAGAGTCAAGAGGGTGTTTTAACCTTCTGCTGCCTGGAGAGGGAACTTGTGATTAACTGGACTAGGCAGAGGTTCGGCCTTATTTGTTGTTTGGCAGGAGCGTGTGAAGGACTTTGTGGTACCCGCAGCCTTGAAGGGGACAAAAGTGAGACAGAGCCCTCTGAACGGTACTTGGAACAGGAACAGGGACAGAGGCTTTCTCCCCGGTGGAAGGAGAAGTCACCTGGAGCAGGCAGACGCTTGAACCTCTTACCGCAACGGGTATGCAAAGGGGTGAAGCTGTGGCACTCGGAACAGGCCAGGTACTCCTCGCTGCTGCTGAGGCAGCGCTGGAAGGAGGGCACCCCGGCCAAGCCTGCGATCAACAGACACAGAAAGCGCTGCCCAACCTCAAAATCCCGAGGGGTGTTTCTAGGAGGAGGGAGGTGAAGCCTCTCCTGAGGACCGACTGCCTTCCCGGTCGGGCACCGCCAGCACCAGGGAGCTCG